CTCGTCCACCGCCGCAGCCGTCGCTTTTATTCCGTCACACTCAGACCCCCAGTGGCTCTCTCGTTCTTAAGCCGGGGGGGGGGGGGGGGGGGGGGGCTAGTGAGCACTGGCAGGGCGTTCAGATGAACTGTGCTGGAAAGTACAGTGAGAAGATTGTTCTACTTGAAGCAGAAAAATGTTTTTGAAAGTGCTCTTTATAGAGCTTCAGGAGAATTTATTCAGGGCGAATTATCACCATATCCTTGCTTTATTATCATACCAAATTTTATTCCATGGCTCGTTATTTTCCACTGATTTGCACCAGATTTGATTCGATCCAGAGCACCTGGCTGGGGACTGAGCTGAGATTTTCATCATGTCATTTAAAGCTTGAAAGCTTCACGCTGGTCCAAGTCCATGAGCAGTAAGAGGCCCATGAGCAGTAGGAGGTCCATGAGCAGTAGGAGGCCCATGAGCAGTAGGAGGCCCATGAGCAGTAGGAGGCCCATGAGCAGTAGGAGGCCCATGAGCAGTAGGAGGCCTATGAGCAGTAAGAGGTCCATGAGCAGTAGGAGGTCCATGAGCAGTAGGAGGTCCATGAGCAGTAGGAGGCCCATGAGCAGTAAGAGGTCCATGAGCAGTAGGAGGTCCATGAGCAGTAGGAGGTCCATGAGCAGTAGGAGGTCCATGAGCAGTAGGAGGTCCATGAGCAGTAGGAGGTCCATGAGCAGTAGGAGGCCCATGAGCAGTAGGAGGTCCATGAGCAGTAGGAGGGCAGAGGTCGGTCAGCCCACCTGGGTGCCGGAGATCTACAGAAGGTTACATCCCCTGTTGAGAGGTGACGTTCTGCACAGAATCGTAGCGGACCCCCTTGCTCGGGCTTCCTTGCACCACTTGACGTCCTTGGAGGTGGTTCTCTGCATGCACAGACGTGTCCGATCATCCTCTCTGTCTATTTCAGGATTTCTTCACCACAGCATCACATTGTGCAGGTGGAGGCATTTCTGTGAATTCCCGACACTTTCTAAAAACAGCTTCTGCTGTCATACGTGCGTCCCAGCAGAACACCTGCTGTGTACATTTTTAGTTGCAGAATGAGTACCTTCACGGAAAGCTTCGTATCTTCTGTGCATGTTTTTTTTTTTCTCTTTTTGTGACACATTATACATAATATCTTCAAATTTAATCAGTTTCCTAAATATACCAGGATCACTCATGCAATTCAAGTACACAAACACAGAAATCAGTTTCTCTAAAGCTGTTAATATAACAGGTTACCACTGTTAAAGCACACCGTCAGGATAAGTTGTCTCCTTGAACATTACATCGTTTTTAATTTAACGTTTCATGTTTTGTCACATTTCTCCCTCTGAGTCGACCGTCTGCTCAGTGACACATGAACATAAACATTGAGCTCTGGTGCTGAGGATGTCCAGGAGTCACACGCTATTCGTGGTTTTCATGGCCGACGTGGACTTCCATGCCCGTTCTCAAACACAGACTGCTCACACTTCTGCAGTTTCAGGACAGCTGAACATTATACTTGTAACGTTAGAACGATTGCAACACCAGTCCATCCTTTGTGTTGCGTGTTTATTTTTCTTCCCTGGTGTAGCGGTAAGAACTCACAGAGTCACAGAAGTGCTCCTCATTTATTGACATGGATGGACACATCTGTGCGGCACCGGGACTTAAGGTCAAACATGAGCGTCTTTTCTGAATCAACAGAACAAGGATAAGAATAAATGGGGGGGGGGGAACTCCCCTCTAACAGAAAGGTCTTCTGAGAACCAGGAAGCACTGATTGCTCATCCATGTCATTAATTTAAGAACGCATCAGAGGATGATTACTGCCCTGGTAGTTTGTATCTCTCTGTGGGCTGTCCTTCCAGCAGCAAATCGCAAATCTTTTTGATAAGTATGTTATACAGGCACCTACCTACCCTGGGCCAGCCGGGGCAGACGGGCTTCCCCTTCGAGTCCAGTTGAGCTTGAGGTTTGTTCCTCACAGCAGGGTCTTTTTGCCCTGGGCTTCATTTGCGGTGGTCAGGCACAGATTCCCTGCAAAGTTGCTTTGTGATATTGCCTGTTCTGAAAAGCACCATACAAATAAAACGGAAGTCAGATGGAGCTGCACTGATACCCAACGACCGAGGTGTTTTTCCGTGGTCATCCCTAAGGGCGCTTTTCCACCACACCAGGTATCGTACTTTTGGTACTAAAAATTTGGTGCTTTCCCCTTTCCGTTGATTTCTGGTCATATACCAGTACCAAAAGTACCAAAAGACTTTTTCGGTACTTTGGGGTGGAACATGCAAACATGTTAATTGTTAGTTTGGTTATGCAAATAACCTTCCTTGCAAACACAAAATAAATCCGCTAATTTGTAAAAGCATACTTGCAAATTCAGAAAACAACGGTAAATCCTTTTTTTCCCCAACTTCTTTTTTCAGCTAATGGATGCTTGGTTAGCAATGTTGCCTCACACTTCTGGGACCAGGGTTCAAGTCCCTGTCATGGCTCCAAGTTTGTGGAGTTTGCATGTTCTCCCTGTGTCTTCAAAGAATATCCTCTCGGTAATGCAGTTTCCTCCCCTCATAGTCCACAGATACATTAAGGTGAATTGGAATTACCAAACTGTACGTGTGTGAGTGTGCTGTGTGATGGGTTGGCTGGCACCTTGTACTGGTTTGCTCCATCTGTGACCCTGAATATGACAAGCAGTTACAGGAAAATGGATGGATGGAATGGATGCCTAGATAATTTAAGAGACCAAACCTTTAATTGCAATCTGGTCAGAATAACAGATTTAACAAGATGTGGATGGCAGGACAAGAAATAAAAAAGTATTTAATATACCAGGGCTGGGAGCAGGTCACGTCTTGGCAAGTCTGAGTCAAGTGTCAGGTCATGTGTTCTGAAGTTCAAGTCTTTCCATCATTTTTACTGTCGAGTCACAAGTCATCAAGTTGATTTGTAAGTCATGTAACTCAAGTCCTACCTACGTGTTTTTTTTTTTTGTTTGTTATTTTTTACCCTTGGTGATTAAATCTCACTGCAACAAAACCCCGCCACAGTACCTTGTAGGTTGAGTCCTTCACAAGCAGAGAAGTTGGAAATAGAGTCTCCACTCTATCACGATTGACCTTGCAATTTTTATGTCCATGTATATGCAGGAGTGATGCATCTTTCCAACAGAATATCTCCGGAGACCTTGCATTCAGCCAAATGAAAATGCAGAGAGCAGAGAATTAATATACACAGAAATTATGAAATTAACATTATGGTATCCAGAGGGGGACAATAACCTCAAGTCTTCTCGAATCATAGGGTACAAGTCGAGTCCAAGTCTTCCTTTCAGTTTGCTGAGTCGAGTCACAAGTCATCAAATTTGTGACTTGTGTCCGAGTCGAGTTGCGAATCAGTGAATTGAGTCCCCACCTCTGCAATAAAGGGCTGTGCAATATTGGAAAAATCTCAATTATAATGATTTGATTTTGTTGCATTATATATTGGGATATTTCTAAAGCAAAAACGGAGTTCAAGATAAATTTCCCGCAAAACCTAGGAATGATTTAAACAGCAAGGATGAAAATGATGATTGGTTGGGAATGCACATGCAGAGCTCAAGCAAAAGCAGGGGCAGTAAGCATTAAACATATGCTAGATAATCTTGATAAGGAATAGTCATTAAAATTGCAAAGCCTGCCAAGTTTTGTTTCCTATGACATTTTTTTGATGTACCAAAAGTTCGGTAAATGGAGTCTTAGAAGCAGTCAAACATGAGAAAGGTCCAATAGCCAGTGACTGATGGCTAGCACCCATTGGTGGTCTTTGAAAGGTTAGCCTCTTGCACTCTGTATGCCTGATTGGTTTTTGATTTTTTTTTCCTCTTTAAGTTTTGCACTGCTGTGTGTATGTTGTTGTGGATCAAATGGCTTTTTGGGTAAATATGTATCCTAGTTCATGTGGATGCGTTAATTAGCAGCCCAGAACTGTTGGTATGTGATTGTGTGATTGTATGAGCGTGATGACTGCTGACCCAGGGTGTTCCCCAGCCTGGGACCCCACTCAGCCCCCTAATGGTTGGGCAGTTAGTGAAGATTGGTGGACCGCTGAATGTATTTCCATCTACGGGGGTTTTTTCGAATATTTTTTCAATACGTTTTTGAATTCGCCTATTTTGTTATTTCACCATTTGCAGATTTGCACAGCAGTGTTCACTGCGGTGTTCCCAGGTTTTGGTGTGACCATTCTGAGAGCAGTGCAACGTTTTCACAAAATGGGGTTACTGGTACTCAGTATCCTTGCACTTGAATTGTGTGCCTTTGGACTCGGGCTGCCGCAGGTTTATCATGGTGAGCTTGAAGCACCACATCTCCGCATCACCATCTTCCGTGTTGGATTAGTGTCACTGCGCTTTGGGTTCAGTTTCATACCCAGAAGAGTTATTTTTATGACACAGCTTCCATTGTCCCACACAAATAACTATGCAAAAAAACAACAATGGGCGACTGTTGAGAAAACGTTAGCATTCAGAAGCTCGGGTGTTTGGCTGCACGCTTTATTTGGGGACAAAGCCGCATTGATGGCCAGGTTGGGTTTGCTGCCCTCAGCAATGAAGGCAGTGCTGTAAGCTGTGTTGCACATCCTTTAGCTAAATTCCACACGTCAACATGGGCTTCATAACTTTCAAAACCAATGGAAGCCACACTTGTCCATAGATTTTCAAAATACCATCATCCGTAGTCGTTGCAGTCAGTGGTGGCATTCCCCATCCTCTCACATACTGTACTGGGCCTGTCACCGACGTCCAACTGGTAAGGCTCACATAGGTTTGTCACAGGCTGTCCCTGCAACCTGCCACATCTTTTGTTATTTTGTCCCTCTGCCTTTTCCTGTAGCTCCCTGCTTTTCCCTAACCCTTTTTTCACTCACAAAGGCTCCCATTGTCTGCTTGACTGTTCTGCACCAGGCTCAAGTTCATAGATGACCCTTGTGTTTTTTTCCCGATTTTCCAGGCCAGGGCGAGGCAGATGCGTGCCTGAACAATGGCAGACCTACCAAGGGGACAGCGCCGACTGACTCCGCGGGTGCGGGGAATGCGGGGAACTGTGCCAGCACAGCTGACCCCAACAGCTCCCGCCCCCACCTGGTCCGCCTTTTCTCCCGGGATGCCCCGGGACGGCAGGACAACACCTTCAAAGACCGCCCCTCAGAGTCGGATGAGCTGCACACCATTCCGGAGTGCGCAGCGGAACCGTCGGTGCAGGACAGCGACTAGAACCCTACTTCAGAGCCTCTTTGGGACAGAACTCTTGAACTGGACCAACCTCCCCCACAAGACCGAAACCCAGAATGGCCACAGCAAGTACCTCTGGTCAAGCCCCCTTCGGGCTGGGCAAGCGGAAGAAGAACCCTGGACTCCTGGACCAGCTAGGTCGCTTCTTCGGAGGAGACAGGCGGAGAAAGGGCAAGGTGAGGATGAGGAGTTTTCTGTGGGGGAAAACAAGACAGAAACTGCATTCTGTGTTATTGCTCCTTGTTTCATTTATTATTTTTCCTATTATGTTGGATGGGGGATCTATAGAATGTATTCATATTTCTGACTATTTTTTTTCCTTGGTCTCCATTTGACTTTCCAAAACTCGCATACGAACCTGTGTTGTACACAGACAGTGGGTCAGTGTGGTTTGGGTGTGGTTAGACACCTGTGACACGCGGGATAGAGTTTTGTGTCAAAGGGACATCTTAAAAATAACCTTCAGTTGTCTTTGATAACTGTAATCTACTTTTTCGATTTCATTATCTTGAATTTAATTGCCTCTGTGCATGTTTGTGACACGGTGTTTGTTCTCTGCATTTGGTGGTGGTGCGGGAGTGATCTGACCTGTCGAGTTATTGAACACGGTGTGGATTTGCCGGAGGCTGACTATCAGTTTCCCCGCAACATAAATTATTAAAAAGCCTGTTTAATTTTTGTATCTTTTAATCTTGGGTTGGGGAACACATCAGCGTTGCGGGGCTCGATTCTTTTTCCTAGTTCAGAATGTAGATCGATGCAGCTTTCGGAGGCTGCTGCTAGGTGACCGCTCTTAGTATCGACCAATCACAAGGATTTCCCCAGTTCATTTGTCCTCACGTATGAGGACCAAATGTCAGCCTTAATATCATACCACTGACAAGGGAGATAGTGGGCGGATTTGTCAGCCTGAGTACCAGGAGCAGACACGCACGCCACCCAAGATCTCGCTTAGATCGTGTGAGGGTTTTTTTCTCTGTAGACAGCTCTACGCGAGTGTAACCTCCGATACATTAAACGGGTAGATATTTAGCTAAACTTTCCATAAGCTGTAAGCTGTATTACGAATGGTACAGATATTTCACACGTATATAGTATATGCTGCAGAATATATCACTGAAATGGGGAAGGGGGGCTTTTGCTTAGATGGGTGGGGCAGTCTTGCATAGTGGGATTTCAGAACTTGCTTGCTGGTAGTGGTTGAATGAGAAGCGGAGAGACTAGACTTTTTTGTGTCCCTGGTCGTGCGACACTCTTAGTTTGAGCCTGGGGGGTCGTCGGTAGCACCCAGGTAGTTCTGGCCCCCATCATTGCCACTGTGTGGCTCCTGGGATGTTGCTGCCAATGAGCACTCATTTCGCCCAGTTGTACTCCGAGAAAAGCCACGGTTGTTATTAGGTGGGGGGGAAGGGGATTCAGTATGTCAATCCATCCCAAAGGTGGCAAGAAGCTAGACCGAATCCCTCCACACGTGCTGCTGCGTTCCCCGTTAGCCTTCTCATTTACCCCGAGCGGGGGCATCAGCAGGGGCGAGGCGTGAGCCGGAGGTTCCGTAGAAAGGTCAGCACTCAGGTAGACAAGCTGCGCACCTCTGGTCAGGCCTCTGGTCAGGCCTCTGGTCAGGCCTCTGGTCAGGCCGTCTCATTCATGCAAATATCTCTAAACACACAAGTGACTGGAATCGCCTTTGGGGAAAAAAGTACGTCTGCCTTTTGCAACATCTGTCTGTTATGTTTTTCTGATCAGAATTTTATTGCTAATAATCAATAACTAGTACTAGTTAGTAAGAACTAGTTAAAGGCTGTGTATTTTATGATTTTTTTTTTCTTTTACTACTTGGGATTATCTTTCTTTTTTTTTTCAACAAAATAATTGGCTTAAGGTTTCCTTCATAATCACTGTAGTGATCAGATATGTTTGACTTTTTTGTTTGTTTTGTTTTGGGGAAAAAAATTAAAAAATGCTATTCCATATAAGATGTCTCTGTGTATACCAAATAATGTTCAGGTATTTCTCTTGTACAAAGAATTTTACTGTATTGTTGGGGAACTGTGTTATGTTTCAGTAAAATGTTTATAGGAAATGTTCCTGTGATGGGGTTTAATTGAAATTGTTCTTGAGGATTTTTATACAGAAAGCTTGCAGTTTGTACTCTTTTTTTTAAGACTTTTTTGATGTTTAAATAATTTGAGGGAAACAAACTGCTTTTGAAAAGTATTGTCCTACTCACATGTAATTCAGATTAATTAAGATTTTACAGTAGCATGATAAAATTGTTACTTTATTCCAAATGTTCACACAGTGTTAGTGCACAAGTACAGTAGTGGTATTTAAAAATGTTTTGTATTTTATCAAAATGTTTGTTAAAATTGTTTTGCCTACCCCCCCATATTGCTTAATGCATGACAATTTATTGAGAAGAAGCTCTGCCAGTAATAGGCAGTGCAATGTTAATAAGTCCAAGAGAGCGATATTCCATTACTCTGCCTGCTTCTCGTTAAGAGATAAATGGCTGAAATCAGGGGATGGTTCATTGATTATCCGCATTGTCACAATCACTCTGCCACAGGAAGGAGGTCACGAACTGCACTTCTAAGTTAATGCATGAATGAGTTAATATGAACAATCGTGAAAATTAAAAACTCCCCGTTTCCTCTCCCAGTCGTTAATGGTCTGCCAGCTTCCCCACCAGCTGGTGACAGCCTGGCGTCGTTCGTTATGTCACATTAGCTGAGACGTTGGTCTGTGGTGAGCCGCCGTGTCGGTGACGTAGCGCTCCCACCATAAATCATGCTATATAGGCCACCTGCTCTTATCTTTAAATTTTAATGTAATTGTTCTTTTTCTATATGCCTTATGAATGACATTAATGCTTCTGGTCACAAACTGCTATGAATTGTGTGTGCAAGCCTTTTCTCTGCCTCTCTAACATGAGCTTTGGAATAGTACTTTATTAAAGTCTAACAAAAATGACTCTTGCAGATGTTTGTTTTTTTTTGTCAGCATGTAAACCCTAACCGGCTTTAAACCATAACCTGGCTGTATTGTGTGATTAACTGCTGCCTGCTCTCACTTATGCAGCTAGACATGAATAAGCGTGCTAATCGTTCTGCAGAGTCTTCAGCACGTTTGTGTCTGTTGTGTCTGCTATTGTGCTCAAGCTCGAAATGTGCTAGAAATGTATCTGGGTGTATTATAGACAGAGCGAGCCTTCGGATTGCAGAGTCCGACAGGTAGTCCGACGTACAAGTGCATCGTTAAAACTGTAATGATGTCACCCGGGTAATTAGCCTCAAGCCACTCCCCCCCCCGAGTACCAACTGGGCTGTGAATCTCAACACCACCCGCCTCTCAGCCCCTGTGGGATCGATTGGTTTGGGTCCAGGAGCACAGTGGTCAGAATGGGGGGGGGGGGGGCAGCAGCACGTGGTATAGAGCCTGTCCAGCTGGTTAATATGTGGGCTCCATGCTGTGCAGGGCTGGAGGGGAGGGTATGTGGTGTGTTTTATGTGTTGTTGTCACCATTCAAGGACTGCTGTAAAGCCTGTCCCTCCTGTCTATAGCCAGTTACATCTAAGCCCCCTAGTGGACTGAGACTGTACTGCAACAAATTCTTCTGTTAATCTCGGATAATCTTTAATAGGAACTTTAGTCGTGCTGTCAAAGGTCAACCATAGCTATTAATTTTTTTTGCTGCCAAGCTTTTATTCAATTCAGTTCAATTCAATTTATTTTTATATAGCGCCTTTCACAACAGTCGTCCAAAAGCGATTCACAGGGATGTGTCGTGATACATTAAACATCATTAGAGAGAGTGATACACGTTTTATGAGACGTCTATTGCCTTATGTCTCTGTGGAGTAATATGTAATGTTTCTGCCTACAAACGTCCAGTTGTTTGAAACTTTCTGGTCATGTACAACAAAACATGTTTAGCTTTAGCATTATGTGCCATCTTGTTAGGTAGGAAGACATTTTACTAATTTTAATGGATCATGTGATGAGGGGCATTATTTACTGCCATTTATTCCAGGAATATTCCACAACAGCTGGATTTTTACCTTAGCACCTTATTTTTTTTTAAATGTCTTCAAGCACTGTCCATGCCAGGGTGGGCATGAGCTGTATCCCAGTCAGACCAACCCATTCCTAGGCTGGTCTGTTTACTGGTTAACACTTGCCAGGCCAGTCCCTGTTGATCTTCATGACTTTGGTTCCCCATTTCATGCTAAATTTCCCTTTTACAGGGAGTCGGTCACTCTATACCTCCAGGACAAGGCTGTCATAATGTATAACGTTACAATCAAAGCTGCATAATAAAGTGTTAATGTATTAGCCCTAGCGAGTGCTGAAAATCCACTGAGGACATAATTTTTAGTCATGAAATCAAAGGCTGCTCTGATAGATTCTGATGGCAAACCACCACATATCCACATTCTTTCCTTAAATCTGGTTTGTGTTTAATTGCTTTCTTTCTCATTCTTGGATTTTTTTTTTTTAGTTATGTCATTTATCTGTCCCCACCCTACTAGTAGGCACGTAGCCCCATAGTAATTTTCCTACTAGGATTAAATCAGTTTGTGTGGGGTATGGTATAGCTAAACCCGGAAAACTTCAAGTCAATATAACTTGGAAAAACATTTGAATTTTCTCTGGTTCACATTTACGATAAACATACTGCCAGAATTGGAGGAGTGCGGAAATGTTAACCAAGAAAGAAACAAAACTAAAAAAAAAATACCCTTCTCTACCTTATCATTATGTTATGCAGAGCAGTGGCATTTTTTTCTTCGGTTCAGTCCCATCATTAACATATAAATGAGATTCCTCTTTTCATCCTACGTGTTGAGCAGTGTTTCCCAATCTGGTCCTCAGAGACCCACAGTCAGTCCATGTTTTTGCTCCCTGCCAGACAGTCCACATTTTTGCTTCCTCCCAGCTCCCAGTAGGGAGGACTGGATTTGGAAACACTGATTGAGAGCCTTGGAAAATACCAGGCTGCCGCCCACAAGTTTTAAACGTAACCTATGGGAAATTACAGCTACAGAGCAGGTTGACACGTTGGAGAGTAAGAGAGTCGTCCCAAGTCCGATGTCATGATTTGAATCTGTCTCAGGAAGTGTGTGTCCTTGATTGCTCCGTATCGATACACAACGAAGGCCTTTCCATTCCAATGACAACCTCATATTACAGCATCTCCAACAGCACAAATCTCTGAAGAACCTTCAATTTTTCAAGAGTGAGCTCCGCAGATACGCTTTAATGCAAAGCCAAGGGTACGTGCTGTCTGCAGCAGCTGGAACTATTAGGAAGGACGTGTCCGACCCGTATGGATCCTGGTCCATCGAGGCTACACCAGTCTGCCATCCCCGGCTCATGCCAAAGCAAACTACATGCTGCCAAGTTCATTAAGCTGGGTAAGTCGTGCAGTAAAGAGCTGTGCTTCAACTTCCAGCGGATAGAGATGAGGATCTCGGGGAGTAGCTTGGCTCTTACCTTACCAATATTTGTGAGCTGTTTAGCGGGGGGGGGGGATAACATAACCTGGGAGATGGTCCTTACTGGCCCAACAGCAAAGAGGCACTATGCCAACTATTCAAGCAAAGTTTAATTAAAAATAAGGGTAGGAACATTGGAAAGTTGACTTTGTTAACTTTAGTTAAGTATGAGAAACATACAGAATACTTCATTCCAAAGGGCTACACATCCCTATTTCACACACCTTAAAGCAAAAGTCACTTTTACTGTTATCCCTGCTTCTTCCAACCACTCATTCAGTACAGGACTGCAGAGAAAACCTGCAGGTGGCTCCGTAAAGAGGGAAAGGTTCCGATGAGTGACAGGGGCCATAAAAAAATCTGGACCATAACTGGATTGGTCTGGGTTGGAAGCCTAATATGATGATGGCCGGGACCCTGTCCCAGAGGGTACAAGGCAGAGGAGACCTGAACAGGGTTCCCGTCCATTGCAGGGCACTGATTTGGTGTTGCCAATCTACCTAACAGCATGTCTTTAAGGTATGGTACCCCGAGGAAGATCGGGCACCAGAGCGGCTTGGCAGGCCGCACCGCTGCAGACAGCGTCCTCCGATTTACAGCTATCATTCCTTGTAGCCTTTCAATTGTAACAAGACAAAGAGTAAATAAGCTACAGAAAACTGTAACATGTCGTTTGAATGGAGATTCTCAAGGTCTTTAAGCATCAGTTGATTTTTTAATTATTTTCTGTGACTGCCTACAACAATGGTCCTTATTCAGTTTGTTCTTAAGAAGCCAGATCTGTTGCTTCGTTTACCTAATTTCTCGTCAATCACAATCCACGTTCCTAAAAGAAAAGGCTGTTCTACAGCAGTGAAAGGTGCAAAAACACAACTTCTATATCATGAAGTGTAGTAACCAGTACGATCCCTAAAATCACTGCAGGCAGTCCCCAGGTTAATAACATCCAACTTACGGACAACTACCAACAATTACAAACAGACAATTATGAACAGACCACCATAAAAGCTTATTATATAAAAAATTTGAGATATTGAATGATTCGTAATAACGAACATGAGCATTACTTTGTGACACTTGTGAAAACATTGCGTGGCTTCAGTGGTTCATCATATTAGTTACTTTTATTATTCCTGTATTATTAGTAATAATAATTAATACTTGATGGATCCACATGGGGAAATTGCTCGGCTAGCTCTTTTTGTAGAGTAAGTTGTCCACAAAGGGCATCCACTGGGTGACCTTCTGATTACAAGCACACAGGCATAGTTCACTGAGCCACACCCTACCCCCACATTGAAGAATTATGTACTGTATTATTACTGTTCCTACTTACCTACAGAATAAAATGAGAATTTCAATGGATCTTCTTTGTAACCTGCGGACTGCCTGTATTGTATTTTTCAACCTAATAAAGGTGATTACGCAGAAAGTTGAAGCACTATAACACGTGTTAATCAGGGTCAGATTAAAGCACAACCTCACGCTTTGAGGAGCTCTGTAGGGTTTTGAGAGTTATTTAAGAATTTGATATGGATTCTGTGTTGATAGAATATCCCCATTAAAAAAAGACAAGTGCCTAATCATCATCACGAAGTTACAGAGGTAGGGAGCTTTACTGTGAAGCTTATGTAACGAAGACAGCCTTCAGTCATGATGCTGTATCTTTGTGTTGCTGAAGGGCATTCGATCGTGACACTGTGTGCTCACGCTGTGCATGAAGCAGAATAATGACGTTCTCGAGAAGGTAATTATGGGGTCACTTTAAGAACTGACATTCCACAAGACCTGCAGGGTCCCCGCTGAGAATCCTGCAGAATGTATTCGATTTAGAGGGAAGTCAATGATATTGATTCCAGGGTGATGTTGGGGAAATGGCCCTCCCCGATCTGAAAGATAGGATTCTTGCATTGATTCCTGTAAATCGAAAAGTGCCCGGTCAATTGAATGTTAATGGGTGGAGTAAACAACTTCCATGTAGAAACTGCCCACTGCCAGTATGTCAAGGGAACAAAAGGCTACAGATATGGTTCCATTGTTTTTCTCTTCTTTTTCGACTGTTTTAGTTTTTGCCCCATCTTTTTTCAACCCATTTTGGGCCCATTCAGAGCACTAACTAATTAATTTAATACATGCGCTAATTGGTCCCTCAATTACACAAAACAGTGTACATCCATCCATCCATCATCTATACCGCTGTATCCATCTGGGTCGCGGGGAAGTCAGAGTCAATCCCAGTATCATCAGTGAGAGGCGGGGTACTCACTGGGCAGGCCGCCAGTCTACCACAGCAAAACAGTGTCTGCAATTTTAAAATAAAAATGATTGATGACAAACAATGGAAAGTCTGTACTGGAAAGGCCCCCTCCCCATAATATCTGTAAGATTCCATCCATCAGCTCATTCTTCTTTAATTTAGCTTGATTACTGAAAGCCACTTTAATTAAAACTTGTTTGCTGCTAGAGTAATGGGCGTGTTCTAGACTTTCAGCAGAGGACGGAAAAGGAAGCGACTTGGTTCATTAAAAGTTTTCCACAATGTATCTGAACTGACACTGGAGGTAATGAAAAGGTTTGTATTACCTCTCTTGGAAGTAGGTAGATCAGTTTCAAGTCTGGGAGATATTTAAGGAACATACCTCCATGGCTTGGAATTGCATCTACAACAACAACAACAACAAATTTATTTTTGTATAGCGCATTATCACAACA